TTGTCCTCCCTGCCGCTGGCTCGGGCTGAGCTGTGGAGGAACCTGCCCATGTTTATTTGGTGGAGCTGACGTCATGGCTTCCCGCCCGTTCCTTACTGCCTGTCCCGTTACTTAGCGCTGCCTACACGTGGGGATTGCTCGCTCGTTTCTGTGCTAATGGCGGCATTAACCGTCATTAACGTGGTACCAGCAGCTGGCTGAAAGGAGCCTCCAACACTTTGCTCTTGGAGGAGCTGCGTTTGCTGCTGCTCGGGACGGAGCCGTGCTCTCTGCAGTGCAAAGAGAAGCTGGCTCTGGAGGAGCGGCTGAGCGCTGCCTCGTCCGCGTCGCTCTGCGCTCCGGAGAGCTGCTCTCGAGGGCCGTGTGACGTTCCCCTCCGGAGAACGAGCTGGGAGCTCTGCCTGAAGCGCTGGTGCTCGGGGTGGAGGAGCGTGTGCGGTGCTCCGTCAGACGCGTGGGCAGCGAGACGGCTGTGCGGCGGTCAGGGTTGGCAGCAGATGCTGTCGGAGGTGGCCTGTCCCTTTGGGCACCCGACAGCTCTGATGTAGGTGCTGAGCCGTGGAGGCTCGAGGCAGAGTAGGGACTCAGGAAAGTGAGGTGTTCTGTGAAACAGGATCGGTGGCTCCATTGCTGCCTCTCCATGACAGGAATGACGTGCTTACGTAGAGTGCTTTTCCTAATCTAAATTTTTGGGCTGTGTATTTAAATTGCACCTGGTCTAGTAAAGATTTTAAGGAAAAAACCCAAAAAGTCTAGCACAATGAAACTGTGATCATCTCGTGAATCCCTGCACTCACACAGATCATTCTTCCTCCATAAAATGGATTAGGGCCTGGATTGGTTTTAAATAGTCACCCCATTGACTCAGCCTCAACAAAAAGACCTGCAGTTTCCCTCAGAAAAGAAACAGGTTGGCATCGCTTGGGTCTGCTTCGCTGACTGAATGTGTACCCTGCAAGCGATGAATCATGGAATCATGGAATGGTTTGGGTTGGAAGGGACCTTAAAGATCATCTAGTTCCAACCCCCCTGCCATGGGCAGGGACATCCTCCACTACAC